TGAATATTTTCATGCCTTATTTGCATTGAATTACCAACATCTTTTATACAGTTCTTCTAAAAATATTGATTTATTCTGTGCAACACATGTTTTAGTTTTTCACCTCTTTCTGCTCAAGGTCAGTTTTAGATTTGATGTTCAACACACATTCACTCTGGGTCACAGGACTATAATATTATAGCAAACTTGATTGCAAGCAGTTGCTTGTTAATAGACATTTTCCCTCATTTAGAGTCTATTCACCAGATGAGCCTGATATTCACTCTCCTTTTTAGTCTGTTTCTGCTCTCTATAAATTCCACAGGATATTATTTGACTATTTATACGTTAAGTGCTCACCAGTAGTTGCTTCCTGGTGCTGAGCAGGTAGTGCAGGTTGGGTTTGATCGCAGTAGCTTCCTGCTGTGGCAGATAATGATGCAGTGAGCGCAGCACAGAGAGAAAGCTGTGTAAAGCCCAGGGGAGCTTGGTAAATAAATCCAGGATTTGCATCATTATGTGCAATCAAATCGATTTTTACATTGACATGTGATATATTAAGAGTACCAATAAGAGCCACTTTAAGCACTTAGAGTTTAATACTCAAAACACACATTTTTCTCAACATGGCATATGTGAGAGTGTGCCTGTCCTTCGACCGCCCAGAAGGTCCTGAGCTCTTTGTGCATCCTGCACGTCTCATTTTTAATCTGCCTCTTGACTGAAGTCGTTAGTCTTAGGGCCTGCGGCTGTGTTTCTGTCCTCAGTGGTAACCTTGGATTTTGCCACTGATTCAGCTCGACAAATGGTCAATTGCACAAACAAGAGGAGAAATAAATCTGTGGTGCAGTGCTGCAGAAGCCACCAGTTGGAGGAGAAATGGACGTCACAATTGATTTTGATACAACAGCTCAGTACCGGGTTCACTTATTTATTTATTCTCTGAGCCATGCCTCAGTCGGCTGGACAGGAGAAAAGAAAAGGAAGGTGCTATCTGCATTTTGATAAGCTGGCATATTGTGTGTCTATGAGAGTGAGACGGAGATACAATGGGGACATGAATACATATAAATACTAGCACAAATGTGAGTTTAATCACCAGGACACACCACAATTCCCATGTGATTTTATGCAAAGTAATGCTGACACCTGAAACACATTCCCTGAGGAGTGGACCACGACTGGAATTCAGATAATAGCTGTTTTTCTTTGGTCCTGATTAATAATGCAAAACGTCAAATCACGTCTGTGTGTGTGTTTGGCAATCGTTTCGCTCGTGTGCCGCCCAGCTCTGCTGTTTAGCCTCAGGGAAGCATTGCTGTGGCATCGGCTGATAGATAGTTTTGATTTACTATTCCCTCTCACATCTCTCTACAGTACTGACCTACATTCAGCAGCTGCTATGTAGGCCTATGTGTCTGTGTGTACTTGTACAGATATCTATGTAAGGACCATTTTGAGCCTACCACCAAGTGAGGACGTTTAGGCATTTAGTTTGACAGAGAGAATGAGAGTGAGTGTGTGTGTGCATGTGTGTGGGAGAGAGAGAGAAAGAGCGTGAGACATAGTTGAAAAAAAAGGACATAAAGAGGGAGATGCTCCAAAAATACTAAAGCAATTTTATCAGCTGTTTCTTTTCTTTCTCTGCACTCTGGCTTCTTTATTTGTACTTTTTCCTGCTGTGGGACTATTACACTCAACCACACATCCATTGACGATTGCATAATGACTGTAGTCTGCAGTATGTGCATGCTTGTGTCTTTGCTGTGTTTGTGTTCAAATCATTGTGCGGTAGAACACAGCCATGAGAGAAAAAGAAGCATGTTCACTGTGAGTAATACCATTTAATACTTGACCCAGTGATCTAAACAGAAGAAAGCACATACACAAACTCATATTTATATACAAATATACACATGTTCTTGTCAAAAACGATGAAACTATGAAGTTGGTGCATGGAGGAAAGGTAAAGATAAGAGAGAGCTTCTAAAGAAGTGCCTCACTGCACAAGCTCCCTTCTAATCTAATCACCTGAAACCCTATAAGCTCTGGAAACATCTCCGCAGGGAACAACATGGTGCTACAACTCTGGAGGGGGCCACTACCATTCCTGCTTCTCCATTCCTTTTGATTTAAGACCTAAACCTCAAAGTATCATGCATCAGACAAATCAGTCAACAGTGCTGTAGATTGTATCTGAATACATAGAAGTAGCCATCATTAGCAGCTAAATAGCCTAAGTTATGATTATGAGCATTTAGGTTTTGAGGGCTTTTGCCAGACAGAATCAGAGAGTGGAAGGGGGAGACTGGTTGTGGATGGATGACAGGGGGGCACAAGCCTCAGTGGTTGTTGCCTAGGGTGCAGAATTTAATCAGGGCTCTGCAAGAATGTCACTAATTGTATTTTACATGGTTACAATAACAACATCATCAACAAAAAGATGCCTTTTCATTATAATATTAACTAGAAATCAACGTACATGCTGCAAATTCTCGCAATTTTAGAGAAAAGGAAACAACCTGCTCGATCTGCTCCCTGAACTGCATCCGCCAAAACCAAAACACCACACTTTAATGGGTTCTTCCTTCATGCCCCACCCCTCCACAAATTTCATAGAAATTTTCAATCAATCAATCAATTTCACGCAGATGAAAACATAGCCTCCTTGGCACCAAAATGAGAG